CGATGTCCCCCCCCTATTTATCTTATTTAGGATGATGACTATGAAAATGACTGATTTGTTCTTTTGCGGCTTGCAACCACCAGAAATGCTTTTGATCTTTTGGGGTGGTTGATCCCTTGGGATACTGTAGATATTCTCCAGTAAGATAGCTATGCAAAATGGACCATTTATAAGATTATTTGCCTACTTACTAGAATAAAGATTTTCCATAGCTATGTTCGTTTACCAGAAGGTACTCCACAAAAAGTCTTATTCAATGGCTCCAGTCGTTTCTTCGTTTGGATCAGTCTTTACCCTTGCAGCGCTTGCGGCATTCCCTATGTAAAACCAACTTCAAGAGCGAGGATAAGTAGGGGCATATGCGATTCACATGGGTGAATTGTAAGAACCTCGCAGCCGCGATCTGTTCCGAAAGACAACAAGTCGTAACAATTCGCCATTTCCCCATGGCCTTTTCATTTCTTGTGTTTGGTACCTGTTTCTGGTGAATTTATGGTGGAAAACAGCATTTATAAATCAGTTGTAGATGGATTTTCCCATGATTTTCCCATTGAAATCTCCGTTTCCTTCGGGGATGTCCCGGTTTTTTCATGTGGTCCGAGGCGGCGCGTGTCGGAGTCGCAAGGCCTCCAACAGGCTAGTGAAAACTATGATTATCTGTGGCTCATAGGATATATAGGATATATAGGATATATAGGATATATATGGTTATATATATGTATATACCCTCTGGTAAACTAACATAACTGTGGAAAATCACAATTATTCATGGGTAAATCAACTATAAATGGCAATTTTCAATAGCTATGTTATCAGTTGGTTTATAAACCATGAGAATCCCCATGAAATACAGTAGATGGACAAACAAATCAAACCCTACAGACATCTACCAAGTAAAACCCCACACACCAAATTTCAATGTTGAACAAAACTCTATCTAGCTTCCTCTGTGTTCAGGGTTTGATTTTTTTGTCCACCGCTGCCAAGCGCGGAGCCCAAAGACAACATTGAAATTTGGGGGTGCGGGGGTTGACAACAATACAGCAAGGTTTTGATTTCATCGTCCATCTACGGTAGTTCGTTATATCTACAATAAGCCACAGTTAAACCACTTATAAACCAACTGAACGCTATCTCGGGGGCCCCATCTTGTAGGTTATATAGGTTATATATATATATATGGTTATGTACTATGGTTAGATATAACATGATATAACTATAGCTAATTTCATAACCAACTATAACTATAACCAAGACAACTAAGTTGACGCACATCACTTGAATGTTGGGTTGAGGGGTATGTATTGAACTAGTATTCATGGGTGAATATAAACCAAAATGGCCATACCGGGGGCCTGGGCTTGCTTAAAGTGTGTGGTTAACCATGGGTACACCATGGGTGAACCATTCTTTCACAAGGCTTTTGAAAAAGGTCCCAGGCAAAGATCAAACGCCGGCAGTGTACGATTTTCCACAAATATGTGCATCCCCTACTACACTTTTAAAGCCATGGTTTCTGGGGGGGGTTGATATTTTTTGGGAAGGGATCCTTGGAGAATGTCGTCCATCTTGATCGGAGGATTGGTAATATCCTTTGATAACTGGACACTCACCATCCACAATGTGAATATCGACCATCAAGAACTGGAACTTGATCAACCCAAACATGGAGTCCTACTACAAAAAAGTAGTACTGGGTGGAGACATGGAGGTTTCCTAAAATGAGGGTACCCCAAAACTATGGGTTTCAATGCCAAAATCGTCCGAGGACTGGATGGTTCCGGGGTACCGCCATGACTTAGGACACCTCCATATGGTGAAAACAACACGGAAGCATACGGAAGCTGAAGAAAGATGGTCAGATTGACATAGTGACGCCATCCAGGTCTGGCCCAGCTTTCTCAGCGTGGAAGTGAACGGACACGAGGTGGGCAACTGAATGGCCCCAGCTTTCAACTGTCACTGAGATTGCAGTGGACCAGCCATGATAGCTTGTTTTCTTGTCTGAAGAATCCTTTAAGCAAGAACACATTCAATATTCAAACATCTTCAAAGATGATCCCTTCCCCGTAGTACTAAACGGGGACCCCCCCCAATAATGCGCACCTGGAGTAGTACAATATTGCCAAAAATTGGATTTCGAAACTTTCCCCTAATATTAACTTATTTGAATTCAAAACCTTGATTTAATTTAAAGAACCAAAAAAACGATTTTAAAAGGCGGACCATCATTTTAAAAGATACCCGGGTTTAACTAAGTTTTATTTCTCTTTCAATTATCAGAGGGTGAAACCCTCAAATAGGACCTTGATTTTTAGATAACTGTAATTTCTAAAGGGGATCACTTGAGAATCAAGTTGACCAACCTAAAATTTTACGGTTTTCCCAAAATTGGACATGGTCCCTAGTTTTTTTTAATATTTGGGATACTTTTAGTCTTAGGGGGAAGGGGTTATTCGAAGAACATTTGGCTACATACTAATATGTATAGTTTTATGTGGCTAAATGTTTGATTGAATTATTGAATATAAATGTTTGATTGAATATCTTTGAATATTGTAAGTTGTTTTCATATCCTTTCAAAGATCATCCTTTCATATAGTCCAGCTCATGAAAACATCCGCGTCCATCCTTTCATCGAGGTCTTCACCACCAAGGTGCCCTTGAGGGGGTCTGAAGCTCAAGATCCCACAAATGGTTGGCCGGTAAATCTGATGGCGATCAATGCCATAGGAATATGATGGGGATATAAAAGCCAATATTTCATGGGGATATGTACTAAGAATGGAATGTCCATGTCATAATTTAAGACCCAGGGGAGCAAAAAAGAAACCAGGTCATTTTTGGAATGGTAATCATGTGTCATCATTTATTTTTGGTCGGGCGGAACTCATATTGCCAATTTTTGAAGCCTACTAAGGACAAATTTGGCTGGGTTGAAGATCTTAAAGTTTGGCTGATTTTCCATTCAGAAGGGAAGGCTGATTTTCCATGTTGCCGATGTTGATTTCTTCAGGGGCATCAGTGGCCCCATAGGGGGCTACCAAGCTGTACAAGGCACAAACGTCGAGATGTGCCTCAAAGCCTTTCTGTCCAGCCCTCACTGCGTTAGAATCACAGGAAGGAATGGGAAGTGGCTCTCTAGAAATTTGTGGAGTGTGCCGTTTCCTTGCATGTATCTTTTGTGTTGGATCTTTTTTCAGCTTGGCTTGTGTAAAAGTTTTTTTTCAGAGTCAAAGATCTGAAGTGACCCCTCCAACGGATTTATCTCAGCATACCCAAAGCATTTGAGAATTACACACATCCAACTTTTGGATGGCCGAAACTAGCAACTCGACTCTTCCAACTTGGGAACTATTGCTGTATTATATCCGTGAAAAGTGAGTTTCAGAGGCCAGATGAAAAGTAATTACCTGTTCGAGATCTTTCCGAATCTTTCCCCATTAGCCCACATTAATCCCATGAAAGCAGTGTATAGTCCCTGTTCATAATCCCTGTTCAAAATCCCAGTAACAATCCCATTAGAGCCCATTCAACATCCCATTAAATCCTATTTGAAATCCATTGAATCCCATTATCCCTTTGAGTTCCATATTGAATCCCATTGAAACATATTAAAATCTCATTTTCCCGCAAAACCCACTGTTTTCCCCTGCTTTTCCGAAGCACAATTCCCGCACCCACCGGTTTTCGGGACTCCGTTGAGGCCAATCTCCGGCGCGGGAGCAACACCGTGGAGATCACTGCGGAGGATGAACGAAGGCGCCGTTTGTCTCGGAGCCACTCCGAACGATGGCGCCGTTTGTTCGTGGGAAAACCTGGTGGGATTAGATCATCCTTGGGATTAGACTACCTGGTTTAGTGGGAATGATTAACAGAAGAATTCTTGCGCATTTTTGGGATGGGAAATAGGGTATTTTTTGGACCACGCGGAGTGCGATTCTCCCAGGGAATGTTGCGTGGAAACGGGATTGTTGAGCAGATTTTACTCGCAAACTTTGGAATATGATAGGCATAGAATGAATATTTACATAATTGGGGATATGATGGGGATATAACGGGGGTAGAATGATAATATAATGGGGGTATACATAATGGGATTTTCCATTATTGGATTGACCAATGGAATATGATGGGATAGATAGCCAAGAATATGATCAACAATGTTTATACCGGTTTGTCTGAAAACCTCGCAGGGAAACCCCTTAAATTCACTGGTTTATCCATTTTGCGATTTTCCAATTTTCATCTATTATATTACTATCATCAACATGATTGTTATCCTCCACATCTATTATAATTTATGATGGTGTCTCCTCCACATTTCGATTCACTCAAGTTTCCACCTTGGTTCCAGGTCAGTTTTTTTTTTGTTGGAGGATGTGGATGAAGCAGTTGACTAACGGACTAAGACATTTGCCCTGTGGCAAACAACACAGCAGAATTGATGAATTGGACATATCAATGTCTTGGTGGATACTGCCTCTGGAGAGATTTTTGCATGCCAAAATGGACAATTCAGGCGCGACTACATGCTGGCAGTAGTGAGGACTGTCCGCTGCTTGGGGGGCGGGGGACACCAGCAGTTTTGCTATTTTTGAAGGGGACACTGACAAGACTGGATTAGGTGTTTCTGAGAGTAAGAGTTTGATGAAATAATGGACACGTGGTCAGATAAAAATATATTAATATTACATATATATATATATATTACTAAGATATGAGATATGACTGTGTAAGATCATTATTGAGTTGGGTCCTGACAGAGAACATGGAGCCGTGTCTTGTAGGAAAGGCGGTAAATCTGGAGGAAATCTGAGGACAGCTCCACGTTTGTTCCCCATGAAATATCTGAAGGACAGCTTTTTCCTGTAGATTTTCCGATGTTCCGGTTGATTTTCGCAATTCAACAACTCTTTTGAACCGAGAAGTCTTGCAGAAGACCAAAGACCATGTAAAGTCGACCACTGTCGTGGCGAGGGTCTGGGGGGTCTGGGCAGGACTTTTCCGGTTCGGCCCAAAGATTTGGCACCACTCGTTCCTGAGGATGGATACCAGGAGGGCGCGCTCTCCGCAGATGTGTTCACAGCTGGATTTCACACAGAACATTTTGAAATAATCTAGATTGTGTACAATTGAACTCTGTGTGTATGTACAATTATGCATATATATATATAACAATTATATACACACGTATACACACGTAATATATGTATATTGTATATATATATATATATGCCGCATGTTATATATACATATATATATATATATATGTACATACAGTATATACATAAGCATGGCTGTAATGAGTCTGGCATATCTGGCCTTTGTGGTCCCTGGATTTGAAGAAGGGAAAGGGGATGGGGATGGTTTACACTCCAGGAGTGTCTTCATCGCATCCAAATGTTGTTGCAAGAATCCGTTGCGCAAGGCTGGGTAAGTCACGGTGAGTCGTTGCTGCGGGGAATTTCTTTGGGAAAAACTCACCGATGTATGCGACAAAATGCCATTGCGTGGCAGGAAAACGACTGAAACATGCTGGATGTTCCTGGATTTTCCACACCCCAAATCCCGTGGTTTCTCATATTTTTCCCTTCAAATTGCTATAAATCATGGGTATCCCCATGTTCAGATCCACCTGCATTATCCTCAGTTCCCAATGTAAATTTAGCAGTTTCAACCGGCGAAAAAAATCGCACCAGGCAAGGCTCATCATGGCGTAGATGGCGTTGAACGTGTTGGAGACGAGCGGTTGAAATTGCAGCCATTTTCTCAGAGGTGACGTGTTGAAGGTAAGCCAAACCCAATGACTTGTTGGTTGGGGAAAATAGAGGTGGCTAGAGTTTGGTGATTGTAGGCTCAGGCGCCGCCGTTCGCCCAAACCCTAAACTGTCCCAACTTACCCATGGTCCTACGTTAAACTTTTACATTCATTGAACATCTTGAATGAGGGTTTAACTCCCTCACACCCGTGAAACTTCTACACTCATTGAAGATCTTGAATCAGGGCTTAACTCCCCCACCCTCGTTAAACGTCTACACTCATTGAAGATTTTCAATAGGGGTTTAACTCCCCCCCATTAAACTTATACACTCATTGAAGATTTTCAATAAGGGTTTAATTCCCCCACACCTGTTAAACTTCTACACTCATTGAAGATCTTCAATAAGGGTTTAATTCCCCCATGCCCGTTAAACTTCTACACTCATTGAAGATCTTCAATAAGCCTGAGTGTGTCATGCCGTTCTTCTATGTGGAGGAAACCAAAGATGCTTAAAAAGAGCTCAAACAGGGGTTTTGGAAAACAAGTTTTCGAAGACCCTTACAGCAGTCACAAATCCAAAAGCCGTTTTCGATCTCCAACAAAACCATTTGAAGATATGTTGCAACAGTCATTTTGTACGGGAATTTCCGTGGTTTTAGCTCTTCGTCACGACGTCGTGAATTGCATCCCGGGCAAACGGCGACTCCTGGCCGTAATTGTACTATACCATTTACATCCGTTCACCATGATTTATGTAGTGGTTGCTGGTGGTTATCCTCTGTAAATCCATCAGTCAGCACACGGTTTCCAGCTCCAACAGGGCTTGGTCAATGGCCGAACTCTTCTGGTTGGTAATTTCTTATCAACATCATTTTTTGGGTAATACAAGCGCATTAAATTATTATCATTCTTTGATAAGCCATGTATATGATGTCATGATGTCACTCATGATTATCATTTACTACAATGATATTCTATGTTAAACCCATGATAATCCACAAGATTATGTGTTAATCCCATGATATATTTACAGTATATCATTCTATATCATGTCAATATTGTTATCATGATTCTATATTTACAACATAACCATATATAATGATAGTATATATATATATAAGTATATATATATATAAGTATATATATATATCATACATAAGTATATATATATCACATATAAGTATATATATATCATTGATTTAATGTATCTATCTATATAAAATACATATAAGACATATGAGAATCACCGGTCATAGGTCATATTTACGACCGTCCCGTGAGTTGAGGTGCCCGGTGACGCTCATGCGGCCAAGCACAGCGGTCAGAGGTGCAGCTCGATCGGTGGCACTAAAGGATACCCTCTGGTTTAACTATGGTTTATGGTAAATATAACATGATATAACGAACTAGTTCATGGGGATGATCATGGTTTTTAAACCAACAAACATAACATAGCTATTGAAAATGGTCATAGAAATAGTTGATTTACCCATAAAGAATGTTGATTTTCCATAGTTTTTTATTAACGTTTACCAGAGGATAACACTTAGCAATAGGTGATCCCATCTTTGTTAGGTCCCACCCCCATAGAATTATCAAGTACAACAAGATCATCAACATATTTATCAGATACACCTCTAAACATCCAATACCTAATGTATACCATGTAATGTAAGTATCCATGGTGTATATGAGGGGATCAGCAAGCGTAATCATGACACATATGGTGCAATATGATGATAGCATGTGATATATTTTTTAAGAC